ACGAGAATTCAGATGGGTTAAAAAACTTGATCTCCAAATGAAGCGGGAGAATTGGAAGATCTGCCTATTTGTAGACAACTTCTCTGCCCACAAAATCCCCTATGAACCTTCAAACATCAAGCTCAAATATTTCGAGCCAAATATGACACCTTTTGTCCAGCCATGTGATGCTGGCATCATCCGCTGCTTTAAAGCTGGCTACCAGCGCAATTTTTGTGCTCATGCCATTGAACTTGATGATGCTAGTGAACGGGAAATTTATAAAATCAATCTTCTCGAAGCCATGATGATGGCGAAGGAAGCATGGAATATCGTAACTTCAACAACCATCAAACATTGTTGGAATCATACTGCAATTCAACCATGAGCACACACATCATTTGTTATTAATTACAAAGATCTCATCTACAAGTAGGGACAACTCATCCATTCCAACAAGCGCAGGTAACGGTAGCCCCCATAATGACCCTGTAGCATGGCAAATTGTTCAGGAATTTGCCTCCAGTGAGATGTCTCTGCCTGAAGCAGAAACTCGCCTGGAACAACACCTCACTGATCGCTACGTTGACACGGATTGGAGGCCTGCTTTGAAAGCAGTTATGGATGCTGAGGGTGACATAGCTACTGCACTCGAAGCTGTTGATACACTAGCTGCTACTGCATCTCAATGAACTGGCCTCAAGATCCAGATTCCTGCACATCCAAAGATACCCACCCAAGTTACAACCCTCGAGATTGACCTCATGGATTCAGTTGGTGGTCTGAAGTCTCATAACTGAATTTTTGGCGAGCCACCCACAATCAAAGAGCTTTTGGACCCTATTGAAGAGAGGGAAATTGGTGATCATGGTTACGAGTTTCCAGGTGGGGACAATGAGATTGTCGAAGAAGTTCAAAGACAAATGGCAATTGAAAGGGGGGATATCGTGGAGGTGAATTCAGATAGTGAGGACAGCGACAAAGACAAAAATGTGATACCAGAGTACACTTTCATGCAAGTTTTCATGCTGTGCCAGCAACTCAAAGATGCTTGCCTTTAATTTGGTGAACTCGAGCTCTCATTTGATCTCTCAAAATGGCTGTGGGCATTTAGGGCTTGTGTGCGCAGAGAGGAAATTCATGGAGCAAAGCAGACAACAATAGATTCATACTTCGGTAAATAGAGAATGATATGTTCTGCACTGCTCTCCGCTGTCACACTCTTGAGGGAGGTCACACGGCATCACAATGTGTCACATATGTCACACAACCCGGTTATGTATAAGGGGTGATAATGCATAGCCTGGGAGGGGTCCCGACGTTATGCATTATGATAAAGTGTACTGTACCTTAACATTTTTCTGAATACATTTCAGTTGAAAATTTTAACAATACTCAAGTATAAAGAAGTCTGTTCAAGGGCAAATTAAGCATTGTAGGGTTTCCTGATGCATTCCAGTAGTCAACAGCCTATGCAAGTTTATTGTTTCGAGGAATATAGGTGTAGTCTCAGTGCCTATTCTGAACTAGGATGGACTTGGAAGTCATAGAACTTGCCCTTGAAGCAACACTCACCAGCAGACAGACCAGCTTCTGCAAAGGCTCCACACATTGATCAGACTAACAAATCTACATTCTCAGAAACTCCTTGGGGCTTCTCATTTTCCCAAATGCCCTCCATTTGCATGGTTCCTGCACTTGACTGCTGCTTCATTGATATTCTTCTTCACAAGAGCACTTTGATAAGCACTCCTTGAGGCAACAGCCCAAGAGGGTCCATCACAATTGCATGTGCTCCAGTATAGAACACACAGTATCTAATTTCAGGCTCTGTATGAGCAAGGTGCAGGTCCCCATGCTACAGCAAGCTTGCATAGTCAGAAGTTACAAGCAAGTCATCTTCACAGTTCTTCATGGAAGATCTTCACCAAAGCATTGCCGCAGCATGCAGGCTACATGCATCAAAAATCAGCTCACCCAGAGGTAGTTCATTGAGTACAGTGGACATACAGGTGATGTATAGTAGCAACAATTGGATTCGTGACTTCAAGTTGCATCTTGGGCATGAGAGGAAACAAGTAGAGGATATGTATTTTTGTCCCATGTCAGACAAGACGAAGCACTGCTGTTACGAATTATGCGTTGTACCTGAACACGTGACATCGTGAGTCCGCAGCATTGATGGCCAGAATAGCATTCACATCGGCTCAGTGAGGCTACTCTCCAATGCCTCAGCAGCTGGCGGTGTGTATAAGTATGCCACTCAGTCCCGATACTAGCATCATTTTTCACCTTTACCAGTAAAATCGAACAGTATCATGTCAAACTTGCCTGAGCGTCCTCCATCGCCGACTGAGAAGTTGACTGTCAAGAAAGTGTTGCAAGTCATCAGTACTGGTATCATTCTCCTGTAAGCAATCAGCTCGTAGAAAGGATTTGTGATATGAAACTGACCGCTACTCCTTGACAGTTCTAATATTATCAATGGTTTCTGGTGAATTGTGAATTTCTTCTTGACTACGACGATCTAAAATTTGCGAGCCAGCATCGCAGTCATTTTTATCTATCTTGGCTCAACCATTCCGGTACTGACGCCATATGCCGACTATGTTGCCATGTACATGCTTGGGGCGAGGACCATATTTCTCGCATGCATGTTTTTTGTCAGATGCTATTGGTGCTGTCTTCGACTAGTAGCACCGAAGCAGGCCGGAAGCAGTATTTCCGAGTGGGGTTCGAAAGCGCGAGCACAGTTCCGCGAAGCCTTGAGTCCAAGCAATGGAAAACTAGGCAGAGCGGGGAGGATATAGTACACATTGTCCTGCATTGGATACTTTAACGCTTTTCCGACTGATCAGTTCCGTCTGTGACTTACAGTTTTGGTGAGCTGTTCATGCTAAACCAAAAGAGCGGCTGCTGATGTTCTTATGATTCCAGTTACGACGGGAGTACTTAACTCCTTCAGTGGCCTTTATCGTAGCTTCTACTTCTGGAAAGAACCCTGGTTCAGCATGCACGGGCATGTGATGAGTGTGATTTTCCTCATTTTGGGTGCCTGGTCAATCCAAATTGCATATGTAGGAAGGGTATCAAGAAAGAAGGGCACCAGAGGTGAGAACATTACAGTGGGCAATGATTGCAGTCAACCTAAATCGAATGAGCTTACTCCAGCAGGCGAATATAACAACAACACCATAATCCAGTGAAGTGGTTGTTATATGGGAAGCAGCGGAAAGGGTGGCATAGTGGTCAGTCAGCCATCTCCTGATGCATCATTGTGCAACGTTGAATATTCCTGACAGAAATGTGTTAATACATGCACAAATCAGTACCCTTTTGTGATTGAAATGATACAATATAATTCACCTCCGCAGTCTCGCCACCCATACAAAGGTCATGATAGGTAAGTATTTGTATCTGAAGAACACATGAGCCAGGAACAGATAAAACTCCAAAGAGTTTCTCTTTGGGTAGTGACTCACTAGTAGCAAGACATGAATCGTCCAAGAAGAATGTTTGGTGCCACAGATTCGCCAGTGGATTGTCTCAACATCTGTTTGGGGCGAACAAATGAACAAATGACTGGGTCATTCGTCAGGGTATATGCATTATTTCGAATCGTAAACAACACTTACTACTCTGCGATCTTGGAAGCTACTTCTACTTCTCTAATGGATCTGTTGGGGGCTCATAGATAATAAGCTCCCCATGATCATGAGGAAGGAATGGAAATGCACACATAGCTCACCTGTGCAGCAGTTGGTGCAGGAAACACACTTCTGACTCCCGACCCCAAAAAACGGGCGAAATATGCCATTAGACTCCCACATGGGATTCTGCGACGATCAGTTGTTCACGCTGAGGTGATGAGTACCGCCAACTTGATCACCAGAAGTGAGCGCAAGTAAATGAGGATTGATTTTCCGGGAGTGGAGATGTATCATATTGGATAGTGCCAGTAGGTGCCAGTGCAGGAGTTACTGTTGACTCAAATAAAGCTTGTAGTGGCTGGTACGAAGATTTGGAATTTTTTGTAAAAGACTTGCTCCAGGTTTATACACCGTATAAAAGTACATGGTAGGCCTAGTCTTCCAAAATCAGACCTTGCATGATGGCAAGACAGCCGCAAGCCAGGTGGAAGCATTAAAACCTCGCGTCTCTAGAAAGAGTGCTGATACAGCAGTATACATGTTTGTAATGGCGCCAGCGGCCCTCGAATGCCTCAAGTACTTGGCAAACTTGTCTTTGTTCAGTTCAGTAGTTTCCTGCATGTCCTCTTATGCCGCTAACCCTCGACGAAAGCTGGTTCACGCTTGATTTTATTCTCAGTGTCTGGTCCAAAATTGTCTTTGGCTGAGATGTAGCTGTTACGACCAACCACCATGCCTACAGAGACACCACATTTACTCGGTGCGATATCCTAGCTAGTATACCGGCAGCTGTGTCATTTTCCAAATTGCTCAATTTCCAATACTTATGTCAAAAGCAACTATCAAGGGCTGCACTCTTAGTCTTGATACATGCATGATGTGACTGGGTCCACCACATGCCTGGCCTTTCTATTGACAAGGTCATCCCATTGTCCTCGCTCTCGTAAAGTGATTCGAGGCAGAATCATGGTGGAATGAATGAGGCCTATACATATGAATATGAACTCTAGGCCAAGCACAGGTACCTGAGTACCTCAATGTAGATTAACTATCCAGTGAGGAATGTACTCAACACTAGAGAAAGGATTGTCGTTGGTACAGTTACCATTTATTGTGGGAGTCGGCAGTACACATAATCCATGCACGTGGCTGCGACTCAGTTCAAACAATGTTCCAAGTTCCAATGCAATGTCATGCATCATTATGCATTATTGTCCGGGTCTTTGTTGCTTATTCTCCATGTGTTGTGTTGTCTAAAACACAGAACATCAAAGATCAGCAAGGATGGCTTTGTGCATTTCACCGTCTAAGATCTTTGTCACCCTTGAACATACTTAAATCTTTTCTCTCAACTCGCCTCTAGCAAACAACATGCAGAAAGTCCATAAGATGACAGCAAACTGGGGAGTCGACGTCCCAGATACACCACAAAATATAGTGAGTGATCAATTCCGCAAATTACCAGTACTGGTGTTGTGACAATCATCAATCATTTTAGCTGATGCATTCACGAGTGGTCATACCAGTCTGTTTATTCATTCTCTATTTCAGATGTATCAGAACTGACGCCATATTGATGATGACAAGATCCCAGGCGTTGGTACCCCGTATTGCAGGTCGTGAAAGTTTAGTTGCTCTGCCCTGGAGCTCAAAGACCAGGAAATCAATACCATTATTACTGAACGACATCAAGAGTTGGACACGGTCTCGCACGAGACCTTGGACCTCGCGCATACTGTCATGGATAAAACAAAAGACCTTGGCCAGCAGCTTGCGAAAAAGCAGGACAAAATCATTGAGTCGGCGAACCTGGACAAGGGACTTCGATTGGCTCTCGAGGGCTTTCCAACTAAAGTTTTGTCCAAGATTTTTGACTACTATCTTATGGACAGCGATCATCTGAGCCACAGATCAAGCCCGTCTCCCATGCAGTTGGCCAGAGTATGCCGCCGATGAAGGGACATTGCTGAGGGCATGGCCAACTTGTGGTGCAAACTCTCGTTTGACCTCGACAATGACTGCACCGAGTGGAAGCAGTCAGTTTTCTACTATGATTCATGGCTCAAGCGATCACAAGATGATCCACTCTCATTACAACTCTGCCCTGGATACGCCAAAGGTGGGACGGCTAAATTACGACAGCTTGTTCAACCTTACATGACCCGAGTCTCATCTCTTGATATTGTATTCTGGGACGACGTTGAACCAGAACATTTGCTAGAAGACCTCCCTGCAGGACTTCAAGAGCTTACTGTGTGCTTTGGCGACTGGTTCGATGCTTCAGCCATTGCACAATCTCTCTCACAGCTACCATCCACTGTGCGTAGTCTCAAGATCATAGACCGGATATTTGGCCTGGACTGTTTATATTCTCTCAATCCTGTATGGACCCACCTTACACACGTTGAGATCGCCATTCGTCCACGAAATGTGTTCCATTTCCTCTTTCTATGTCCCAACCTCTCCTCGTGCGAGCTTATCTTAAGTCAACCAGTGTCCATGGATACTCATGTTCAGTGCATGAGGGTTACACATACGAATCTTCGATCCTTGTGCATCATTTGTCCCGGGCACTTCCAATTTAACCCACTCCCTATACTGTTCAAAGCACTCACACTCCCCAAGTTGCGCACCCTCGAAATTCGCTATGGATTGTTGTCGTCCCCCCATGAAGAGTTGCTGATGTTTCTAAGATGGTTGAAATGTCCCCTGGAGATCCTGATGTTCGACACTGTAGTGATACCACTGCCGGAGCAGCAGGGCAATTTTACTGCCATCATTCCTACCCTTAAAATAGAATGTAGGCTCGATATTGATACCAACTAGACTCTGTAATAGGCCTGGTCAATTCTAAAATGTTGTTGTCATTCCCATGTAGTAGTAATAATATTAAGCATCTTCATGTTTATTGTTAAATGTCCTGCTAAACCTTAGGTGTCTGTTTTGCTCGGGCAACTTTTGAGTAGTTTTTTGACCGACACGGTAGCGGCCAAATCAGGAAAGGTTTATATTAGTGCTATGCTCGATGACGATGCGATCAGCGGAGTTGAAGTTTGGAATTCGAACCATGTATATACCGCTTCTCATTCTCACCTTCCCTGAGCTTGTTCCACCACGCTGAGGGTAAGCCTTTTATAATTGTTCGGTCCGCCGCTAGATACTGATTACAGCTTAGGCTTATGCAGTATCTAGGTATTCAATTCAGCTTGTTCCACCACGCTGAGGGCTTATGCAGTATCTAGTCTCTACAGGTTATGAGCCCTGCTCTCTCGTAAATCGAGGAGCGGAATTACCTACTTAGATACAACAGTGGACCTCCGGAACGAACTCGCCGGGTTATTAAACCCTTGGGGACCTTATCAAACCTCTATCAAACTTCTATCGATGTCACTGAGACAGTTTAACCCTTTCCTTCTTAGGTCGAGGAGATTCAATTGACGTCGACCGCAGGTATATATACTCGCGCGCCGCCCTTTGCTTATTTCCCGCCCCTTAACCTCATGCCTTCAACTGCGCATACACGCTCTCGTAGCTCCGGCACTAAAGCCGCCACTCTTAGTCCGCCAACAGCCATAGTGCCTGCGGCCACCATGTCCCCACTTCATGCATCCGTCACCACCATTACGCTCAGCCAGACCGACTTAGACAAGATCGAAGTCTTGGACCGGAGCAAGAATAATTGGGGGGTTTGGTCCGATCATATGCAGAATTACCTCCTCCTTAAACACGGAGGAGGATACATCTTAGGCCTTGTCACCCGCCCTGACCCATCCCTGGACCCATCCAGTGCGGGTCACTGGGATCTCAAAAACCTATGCATCGTGGCCGCCATGCGTACGCGTTCCAGCTCCGAGGAAAACGAGTTCCTATGTGGCTTCATGAACGCTTACCTAGCCTGGGACGCTCTCAAGTCCCTGTCACGAAAAGGTTGGGCCCATCGCCCAAATCTTACTCATCCAGCAAGCTCTGGCTGTCAAGTATATTCGCTCAGAATGACTCTCTACTACTAGTACTACCCTTCACGACCTCGTTCGTCACATCTACGTGATTGGTATCCCCAAAGAGGATGATTTCCTCACGATCATGATGCTTAACGCCATGGCCGAGGATCTTCCTCACGTCCGCAACCACATCGCCGATGCCCTTGCCACCAGTACGTCCAGCACCCCATATGGACCATCTAATATCCATTCCCGCCTTGACGTCAAGCAACAATTGCTCAACACTGCGAAATCCAAAATTGGAGACGTTGCCCTGGCTACCACCAGTAAGGGGGGGAATCACCGCGAGCATCGCGAGCGCTCACCTTGTGGCAACTGCGGCAACACCAGCCACCCGACGAAGGACTGCTTCGGCAGAGGGGGAGCCATGGAGGGCAAAAGGGATGAGGTCCTTGCGCGCAGACGTGCAGCTCATGACACTAAAGCACCCTCTGCGAGCAAAAGTGCCGCTCCTAAGCCCACTGCAGCCACCGGCAAACCTGGGGGTCTGCATTACGACACCCATGGTAGGGCTTACTTACTTGACAGCGAAAGTCATGAGGCCATCTATGTTGCCACGTCATCCGAGCCACCTGAAGCTCCTGCCCCCTCTACAGAATTCGCTGGCCTCGCCAGCGACACTATCACGCCAGCATTCATTCGAGAGCTCTCTGATGCTGAAGAGGATGAATACACCACTCTTCTCGCGGCCGTCGACACCCTCACCACCAGCCTTGACTGGCATTCCAACACTCAGTCCAGTCAACTTTGCCGGCATCACCTATAAGGCGCCCAACCAACGCAAACACACTATCGTCGACCCCTCGGTAGTACCTCTATTCCTTGATAGTGGTGCTTCTGTGCACATCAGCAACGACGAGGGCAACTTCTTCAACCTGCGACCCATTCCCCCGTGCACTGTCAATGGTGTTGGAGGATCGTCTGTGCAGGCTGTCGGCATAGGCACTCTGCGCCTCATTGTTGCCAGAGGCATCCATATCACCCTGGACAATGTTCTTTTTATCCCCGGAGCGATGGTGCGCCTTATCTCGGTGTCCGCACTCTGCTCAGTGCATCGCTGCATCGCTTCCTTCGACGCTACGAACTGCTGGGTTCAGTCTAGGAACGGCAATCGCATGTTATCCGGCACGCTTACCTCCCGCCGCCTCTATGCCTTGTCAGGGGGGCAGCTTTCCGCGGAACACGCGTACATGGCTCACCAGAAGCCTACTCTGCAATCCTGGCATCATCGTCTCGGCCATGCGAACTACCGCGCCATCTACGACCTCGCACGTTCCGGTAACGCATCCGGTATGCCCGTTAATCTCTCTCCCATTCCACCCAAGTGTGACGATTGCATACTTGGCAAGCAGACACGGACTAACGTCCCTGAAAACACATCAAGGGCTTAAATCAGAGAGGAGATTGAGTATCGTGCACGTGGACTTGATGGAGCACCCAGATACAGTGTCTGCTGCCGGTAATAAATACCTCATGGATATTATCGATGATCATTCTTCCTACGCGTGGTCTATCCCCCTTGCTGCTAAGTCTGACGCGTTCCCGGCACTTCGAGCATGGACTCTCGCTCGCGAAGTTGAAACGAACACCAAGGTCGGCATGTTTCGTTCCGATAATGGTGAACTTAGATCTGAATCCATGAGGGAATGGCTCCTCTCTCACGGATCTCAACATCAGTTTACCGCACCCCACACTTCAGCACAGAACGGTCGCGTTGAGCGGCTGCATTGTACTCTTATGGGTAAGGCACGCACGATGCGCTCCGCCTGCAATGTGCCCGTCAATCGTTGGGACGAATTCGTCCTAACTGCGTGTTACTTATCTAACCGTACTCCCGTGGCATCACAGGACGGCCACACCCCATTCGAGCGTTGGTACGGTCGCAAACTGGACCTGTCCCACCTGCGTGAAATCGGCTGTAGAGCCTTTGTTCTGATTCAGAACCGCCATAATCCTAAGGTTTATAGTCGGTCTGTTGAATGTGTGCTAATCGGCTATGGGCTCGACTCAAGACTTATCGGTGTTATCATCGCACGACTCACAAGGTTTTTGTTTCTTACAACGTCTCATTCATAGAGTCACATGAGAACGGGACTTCTGCACCATACCCACTATCAACACCAGCCTCAACACCCCCAATAACACCACCTCGACTCTCGTCCGTCTCTATCGAAGAAGTCCAAGATGTCGACGCTCCTCCGACTAACGCTATGCAACCTCCAGCTCCACCCATCATACCCCCACGCCGCTTGACGCGTGCTGCCGTGCCATCAGAATGCCGCTGTGCAATGGATGGTAAGCCATATGTGTCGCCTACACAGAGGGCCGTCCTTGAAACTCTCTCGGCTGCTGATCGTCTGCGAGCTATATCTGCCGGGAATCCTCCCAACAATGGAGCCTCACCAGCTCTCTCAACTGAAGAGGGGTTAGCTTCTCTGGCTGCCGCATTTGCGGCCATGCCTGATACCTTGGAACACGAGTTCCCAGACGACCCTTCCACTTATGCCGAAGCTATGGGCTCCGAACATGCAGCCCAATGGACCGCTGCACTCAAAGAAGAATTCGACTCACTGCGTGAACTTGGCGTCTATAAGCTGGTGCCCTGTACGGCGATTCCACCCGGTCGAAAAATCATGCGCGGCCGGCCTGTCTTCAAGCTTAAGCGTGACCAGCATGGCAACGCGTCCCGTTTCAAAGCTTGTTATGTTTGTCGAGGATACTCTGCCATCTGGGGACAGGACTACACGAAGACTTCGGCACCTACAGCGCGACTCGAGTCTTTCCGAATTCTGACCCACCTCGGCGCTGCCTTAGATTGGGAGATCGACCAACTGGATATCAAAACTGTGTTCCTTCACGGTCTACTGGAAGCTGACGAAGTTTGTTATATGCACCAACCAGAGGGCTTCCTTGAAGCTGGCAAGGAGGACTGGGTCTGGGAACTCCAGAAAGGCCTGTACGGGATGAAACAGGGAGGGCTCATTTGGAATCGCACTGATGAATGACGCAATGCTTGCCTGGGGATTTACTCGCCTCAAATGCGAGCACTGCATATACTATCACAGTACTCCCGATGGCATTCTCCTCGTCGCAGTTCATGTCGACGATTTTCTCACTGTAGGAAGCACCAAGTCCGCCATAACGAAGTTTAAGGCTGAACTGCGCACTAAATGGTCTGTATCTGACCTAGGTGAAGCACGATTCTGCTTGGGAATCGCACTCGAACGTGACCGGCCGAACCGCACCATCAACCTTTCGCAGACAGCTCTAATTGACCGGATTATCGCCCAGTTCGGCTTAACGACCGCTATGCCTGTGTCGACACCAATGGAAACGGGACTCCATCTCTCACGCCGAACCCACTCGCCCAATACAGATGCGCAACGCGAACTTATGGCTCGCACGCCGTACCGTTCGCTCATCGGCTCCTTGATGTATCTTGCCATAGGCACCTGTCCCGACATCGCTCACGCCGTTCAACAGTTGTGTCGACATCTCGACTGCTATGGTCCTGTCCATTGGGAAGCTGCCAAACGGGTTGCACGGTATCTCAAAGGCACTCGGACGCTGAAGCTGGTTCTCGGCGGTGAACATCCCACGCATCTCCTTGGGTTCACTGATAGTGATTTCGTGAACTGCCCCGACACTCGTCGTTCGGTCAGCGGATACTGCTTTACCTTGGGGAGCGGGATGGTAACCTGGAGTGCAAGACAGCAGAAGACAGTTTCCCTGTCTACGTGCGAGGCCGAGTACGTTGCAGCGTCCGATGCCGCGAAAGAGCTTACCTGGCTATGAACATTGCTCCTTGAACTCAACTTCGCCCAACCATCAGCAACGCCCTTACTCTGCGATAACACTGGAGGCATTACACTCTCAGAGGACGCCTCATATCATTCGAAAGTTAAACACATCGACATCGCCGTTCATTCCATTCGCGAGCGCAGTCAACCGTGGCCAGCTAAAACTATCCTACGTTAAATCGCTCAACAATGCTGCTGATATATTCACAAAGGCCCTTGCTCGAAAAGACTTCGAACGTCTCCGGTCATGCCTGGGTTTACAGTGAGAAATCGAGGAGGAGTGTGATTGCTTATCGCGTCGAGGAGGAGTATTAGTGCTATGCTCGATGACGACACGATCAGCGGAGTTGAAGTTTGGAATTCGAACCATGTATATACCGCTTCTCATTCTCACCTTCCCTGAGCTTGTTCCACCACGCTGAGGGTAAGCCTTTTATAATTGTTCGGTCCGCCGCTAGATACTGATTACAGCTTAGGCTTATGCAGTATCTAGGTATTCAATTCAGCTTGTTCCACCACGCTGAGGGCTTACGCAGTATCTAGTCTCTACAGTTTAGGGTCCGCGTAAGTAATTTACGAAAGGATGGCCGTAAGGTCAAGTCCACATTGACAACGACATTTTAGAGTTGACCAGGCCATGAGGCACCAATGTTGCTCCGCATATGTGATCACGTGATTATTTCTCATCCCAAACTGGGGTTGTACTATCAACGCCTAGCTGTTGTTTGTACACACCCTTTGACATTCAATATTCGATGTGGTTTTCTCATAGCGCTTGCTGCATCGAATGAGTCTATATGGTGTCTACTCCCCCGACGAACAAGCCACCGAGAAAAACCGCATGCCACGGAGCAAGGTGAAGGTCGGCAGGGCCGAGCGAACCCTAGTGAAAAGTAAACTTGTGATCCCTTGATGCGGCGGCTTGTCACATGTCATCGCTCTGGTTCAAGTCTGCGAAGAGAATGGTCGTGAAGAATTTGATTGAAATTGCACTAGTAAAGGTTGGTCCCGTTTTATTTGGAGCCCAATGTGTCATGAACTTGGTGTTACTGACGTCATCTCAATCAGAGCTCCTATAAGTACGTGCTCCTCCATTATCCTCTCTGCTCCTCCTTCAACACAAACATGCACTTTAGGCGTTCTGTCTATGTTATTCTCCTCATCGCTTCAGCATACGCATCGAGCTGGTTTGGCTCTGAGCCTGAATACGACAAATGGTCCCATTCCGATTTGCACTCCTGGCTTGAAGACCACCACATTAAGGTCCCCTCTCATTTTGATCAATCTCAGCTCCACGACCTCGTAGCGGCGAACTGGGCTTCTCCCCCTCCTCCACCCCCATCGTTTGCTGAACAGTCTCGTGCATACGCTGACGCAGGCAGGCAATGGAGCTATGATAGATATACTCGTGCTCAGCACGCATTCCAGGACTTGCAGGAGAATTCCTTCGACACCTGGGACGAGAGCAAATTGAGAGCATTTTTGCTCGAGCATGGCGTGGTAGCACCCTCTGGACCCCGTGAACAGCTTCTTTTGCTTGCTAAACAGAAGCATCGCTCCTTTACCAATGCTGCATCATACTACTCTTCCCTTGCATCTGAAACCGCCACTTCTGCATACTCCGATGCTACAGATACGTTATACCACGCATCCAAAAGCGCGAGCAGCATCGTAGCTCAGGCTACCCATGATGTCGGTCGTGCTTTCGACGACAGCAGGGACTATGTATACTCAGCTTGGGATGATAACCATCTCAGATCTTGGCTCGAATATCACGGAGTGGTTGAAGCTAGAAAGGCTAGCACCCATGCCGAGCTCACCAAACTCGCCAACGACTATTGTCGTACAGCTGTGGAGCCAGTATGGAACGTCTGGAGCGACTCGTATATGGTATGTATATAACCGCTTCAAAGTTGTGGACTCCCTTGACATCTTTTGAAGCGCGAATGGCTGATTTCGCATAACCTTCTTTCACCTTCCGATACTGCATCGCGCTCCACCTTACTTGGGGAGATGAAGAAGTATTATTACTCCTCACCCGACAAGGTTTGGAGTGTTTGGTCTGACAGTGAATTGAAGTCTTGGCTCGTCAAGCATGGTCTCCTCGATAGTGACGCACAAAAGAAACGTGATGAACTGTTAAAAATGGTCGAGTTAGTAGTGCGCCTTCATCTTCTACCAGATCCTAATCACTTTACAGGGACAACTACGCTTCTGCCTCCGATAGCGTATGGGATGCTTGGAACGATTCAGACATTCGTCAATGGCTTTCTCAACATGGATACACTGATGATAGAAACTTTGCGCAAAAAAAGCGTGATGAGTTGGTGAACTTGATCGATAAGCAGTGCGTATCGTTTCTCCGACACGCTTTGATATGTGTTGATATCCTATTTAGATATAATGACATTTCTGCGCGCACCGCTGCATATCTCGTGTGGCCAGATGCTCGTTTACGTGCTTACCTTCGCGAGCGTGGTGTCAGCGAAGCTGCACTCCCCACGAATAGACCCGGGTTATTGCGTACGTGTCTAAATTTTCATCTGCTCTATTTGGTGTTCATTTATTGCAGAGGAGACTCGCATCCGCTGGGTCCAGACATCTAACCGTGCTGAGACAATCTTCACAAAGCTGAATGAGATCATTAACAGTGGCGTTGGCGCGGTGGAGGATAGATTGGCCAGAATTCTCGAGGTTGGTTTACGTGCAACTGTTTCCTCGTTTGAACTGACTCTTCATTAGCTCCTAAGTGGCCATTTGCACTACGCTTCCGAGAAGACTAGTGATGCCCGTGCTTACGCGGAGGATAAGAAAGATAGCGCGTGGCATTGGTGCTCTCAGAAGGGCGATGATGCGAAAGGCAGGGGTGGCTATTATGCTGAGTGTGCCAATAGGAAGGTACAGGAGCAAGGATTTGATGAGAAGGTGAAAGGCGCTGCCGAAAGTATGAAATGGGGCGGGGAGAAGACGAAAAGCGCTGGCGATGAGCTCTAGACCGAAAACAAGCGAAGTATGTTCACTGTCAAAGTCCTTCTCCACATATGCATTCAAGACAGTACCTATGTAATAATTCTGTAACATTGTACATAGTGTTGTATCTTTCTACATAATGAATCTCCAGTCTCCCGTTGTCGTGCCGTTCACTAGATAGGGTTGCTACATATTAGGAATAAGCAGATGTTTGATGCTATTTGGTGAGATAAGAATCTTACTCAGCATGATTATTTTTGACTTTCAACTTGTCGTAGGAAATGTTGGGGTGATGCATTGAAGATGTTTCCGGTGCCGGTGAGACCATTAATACGTATCTGTGCCCCTGCGTTTTTTGCCAACCTTGCCCTTTTTCACCCCCACCAGGGCAATCATGACGGTAGTCGCTCGTTTATACGTGATCCGACACGGGGAGACCGAGTGGAACCGCGCAAGAATTATCCAAGGTCAAGCTGATTCCCAGCTCAATGATCTAGGAGAAACTCAGGCTGCTATGACTGGAGAAGCATTGAAGGCGATCCATTTCGACAAAGCTTTCACGAGCGATCTTTCACGAGCTTCCAAGGTACGTTTTTGAGAGGCACTAAGGTTGATCAAATCTAAAATGTACTACGTTGATTGCAGACGGCTGAGATAATTCTGCAGCATCATCCCGATGTCATCTTGGTGAAAGATCAAGATCTGAGAGAGAGGGTAAGTTATGCGTTTGTAACTCCCTGGCAGTGATCCTGAAGCTCACCATTATGCGGGTTCTCCTCATAGTTCATGGGGAAGTTACAAGGAACCAAGGGACCAACGAACCCAAGTGAACCTTCTCTTGAACCCATCGAAGCCATGATCGAGCGATCCGTCGGGTGGTATAATCGCGAGATTGTTCCATACATCTCATCGCTTGCCGATAATCCTGATGGAAGATGTCGAAACATTCTGGTTACATCGCACGGGTGGCTTATAAAATCATTTTTCAAGTTCATGACAGCGACTGGGATGTTGGAGTGCACCGAAAGTCTGTTAGGAGCTTCACCGAGAATACCTAATGCTAGTTTATCAGTGGTGGAGTATAGCACGATTGGATCTGGATCAGAACAGAGGATTGAGTCTACTGTTGTCCAGTACGGAGATGCCTCACATCTAACCGGGACCCAAATTCTGCATGACAATGCAGATATGGATGCACTTAAATCGTGATTTTCCATAGCTTCGTTACACTAGATGATATATCGTTCTTTTCATTTTTCATTTTTCAGCTTGACCTCGAGACTGTTAATGTTCGCGAAGGTGGTGTCCACAGTGTCCATCCTACTTTGTAGGAACATCTTTTGCTACAGCTGCTACATAAGAGGGAAAATGTCGACCGTGAACACACGTGTCTCTGTTTCACATATGTGGGGTAGCTGAGAGGGATACTGAAATACTACAGTGCACTGTATCCAATCGCATGCTGAGATTTACCTTGTCCGTTTCAAATTGATCATAAGTATATCCTTTTCGAGCTAGGTCCTGCATGAAATTGCTATATTACATGGCCCGATAAATAATTCTTAGTTACCTCTCTTCCGATATCTCTGCGGACCTTTGGCGCTTGAACTCTTTCACAGTTCGCTCTTCCACACCCTCAAACATCATGAAAGCTGTCGTTCTCGGTGCTGCAGGTATCGTAGTGCCTCCCTATCTACGCGATCGCTTAGATCTCTAAACTATCTATAGGTGGTATCGGCCAGCCGTTATCGCTTCTCCTAAAGGCCAACCCTGCTGTCACAGAGGTGTGTTCGAAACACGAATCCAGCTCAGATGGTGACTTATACATATTATGCAGCTTGCTCTTTATGATATTGTGAACTCTCCCGGAGTGGCCGTGGACCTTTCTCATATTGCTACCCCTGCCAAAGTCGAAGGATTCCTACCTCCCGATGATGGTCTCAAGAAAGCACTGACTGGTGCTAATGTCGTCGTGATCCCTGCTGGTATTCCCAGAAAGCCTGGTGTGAGTTCTGGTGCACAAACCTCAAATCAATCAATAGCTCACGAGATTTCTTAGATGACTCGGTCGGTGTTGCTATTCGGGCCATTATGTATTATAAGTTGCTGATTTTTATGGCGCCATGTAGTGATGATTTGTTCAAGGTTAGCTTACTCGGCTACATTCGGTGGTTTAACCCCACTTATACACTCATAGATCAATGCTGGCATCGTCCGCGACCTCGCCACTGGCATTGCCACTACGGCCCCGAAGGCCTTCGTCCTTGTTATCTCCAACCCGGTTAACTCCACAGTCCCTATCGTTGCGGAGGTCTTCAAGAAGCATGGTGTCTTTGATCCTAAGAGGTAAGACCATGATATCAACAGTATGACCGGCATTAATAGGACGTAACCAGGATTTTCGGTGTAACAACGTTGGATGTCGTTCGCGCTTCGACTTTTGTCTCTGAAGTTCTTGGTGATCATTCGCTATCGTTGTCAGTATCAGTTCCCGTGGTCGGTGGTCACAGTGGCGTTACTGTCAGTTATGCTCTCGAATACTCATTCAGAAATGACTAACATGACATCAGATTGTTCCCCTACTCTCTCAATCTTCCCACCCTCTGCCAGCATCCCTTGACGCCGCCGCCGTTGATGTCCTCATCAACCGCATCCAATTTGGTGGAGACGAGGTTGTCAAGGCGAAGGACGGTGCTGGCTCAGCAACCCTTTCCATGGCTTACGCCGGTGCTGAGTTTGCCGGGAAAGTGATCCGTGCCGTAAACGGCGAAAAGGGAATCGTCACCCCCACATTTGTCAACCTTGCTTCAGACAAGACGGGTGGTGACGCCCTCAGGAAGGAAATCGGAAAGAACCTAGATTATTTCTCTGCTCCGGTCGAACTCGGTGTAGGCTAACACGGTCGTGCTAAATGTCTTGACGCTGATGATGTCCCAGGTTGATGGTGTCACCAAGATCCACGGTCTCGGTAAGATCACCCCTGCTGAGAAAGCGCTTGTCGATGCTGCTCTTCCTGAGCTCTCTGCTAACATCGAGAAGGTCTGTGTTTTTCTTGTCCGATTCAACCTCACCTAACGACATCGATATTTAAGGGTGTCGCCTTCGTCGAGGTTCCCAAACTCTAACTTATACTGCAGTGACGCTTGAGAAGTTAACTTGTATAAAATATTGTACAAATAACAGGATTTGTAGAAGGTATAGAATGAAACATAGGAATTACTCGCATGTGATCTCGGACTCAGACCATCGGCCAGACCAACAAGTTTCAAGTCAAGTCACCATAGTCAGCCATTCATCAATTTGTCTACGGTCTGTCTAGGGGAATAATGGGTCATGGCCCGATATGCATGAACACTATACGCTGGTCCAAGGGCATATCTTCATCCATATCCTTACCCTTGTTTGTATTATTGTCGTTATCCGTGTTCGTATCCATTCCCATTCCCATTCCCAATGACACTGACAAAGATCTGTCATGGCCCTGATTGGCACACCCAAAACCGCCCAGCCAAGACGCCGAACGATGATTGAACTCGGCTGAAAGCTGTTAGAGACAGCAATTATTCCATTCATCATACTTGTTTTTGACGCAAGACCAAAGTTGTCGAGGTTCAAAACATTCAGGGTAGTATGTGGATCAGGTCAGCAAAGCAGTTATTATACGGACAGGGCAGAGCAGCCCCAACAATCTCTCCATACAGCATCTCAATGTAACCCGAGGCAATGTACAAACAAGATACAAGGGGCGAGAAACGTTCGATAAAAAAGGAGGCAACGAGCAAACAACACCTCATCAGGTGCAGCATCCAACTCGGCCCGTAAGCGACAGTACAGTGCAAGAAATTTCGCAGAATCGTGAGTCCACCAATAATATATGAAGAATCAACGAAGGTCAGGTATTAACATGACAAAATGTCATCTGGAAAGACAGGATATCGAAATATTCGAAATAAACAAGTCAGAGTCCGGATCAGATACCGAGAACTCGATTTTCCCTAACAAGTTGGGTGATCTTCACTGGTGGCGGCAAAGGAGAGATAATCCGCTAGCTTGTCATACGGGATAGTGCGTGTATCGCAGAAACCGGTCCATGCGCTGATAATACCCCAGAACTCAATGACATAGTCAGTGCTTGAAAACGAAAACATATTCATAGTCATTCTTCAGAGATCTCGTGGCAACTCACGAGGTTGGATACGGCCCATCATTGTCGGTTTTGTTGGGCATCCCTTCCAATCTTCCACCGAGGGACGTCCATGTGCCTGTCTGTTGGTATGAAAGCTCGTCAAGTTATCACCACAGCTCAAGTGACAACTTACCAAGCCCCCGTAGTATGCATCGATCACGTTTTGTTGAGTCATTGACGCTGCTCCACCCGTCATATTATAGAACACTGCTTCAGAAAGCTTCGCCTCTAGAGCAGTAGTGGGCATTGGAGAGGTATTTAACGGGTATACTTGTTGCAGTAGGACATCAGTGTTGCTCCACGCATAGCAGAAGCTCGCGAGAACGCAGTATTCATTTTGGAAGAGACCCTGGGTTACCCAAAATTGACATTGAGTAGCCATTTCGGTGCATGAACCATTGTCCGTTATCGGTTGGGGGACACATGGGATCACTTGGATGGTTGGTACCGTTGTGCTAGTGTTGCACGATGCCACTGCGGGACACACTCCAGGGACAGATGAATACGCAAGCCAGTCCTGGAAAAAATGTAAGGAGAAATATTATCGTTTAAAAACAAGAGTACACACAGCAAGGTTTGCATAAGGAATGTTTCCAGTAGCGCAGAACCCGGTCCAAGCAGCGATGGTTGACCATTGATCAGCAACGTCAGTGATGCTGCAAATAAAATCGTCAAGAATCCGAACCTCGATATGTTGTAGGAAGACTTACTCGTCAGGGTAGGAGCCACCAGGAGTGATGGAAATCTGATGATAATATGCATCGATGTAGTTTTGTTGCGTCATGTACGAATTCCTATTTGTTATGGCATAGAAAACCTATAGTACCACCAGATCAGCAAAGAACACAAATATCAAGCTTTATTCGGACAGATTCAGCCAGCCGGGGTTGAGTCGCAGGCGCTTGGGATACGTTGAGGACTTGTGCAGGGTTCTCCATGCCCGACAAACATGCAGTCAGGAGGAAACACGACGTGTAGTTATAAAAGTTGCTGAGATTAACCATGGTCGCATTACAGCTGTTTTGGAGCGAGACACATGACTTGAAGGCGGAGGCTGGTCCACTGATATCCTGCCTTGGAATGAGTGACGAGGGAAGGGCAGTAACGAGGCCTATGAGAGCAAGGTAGAGAATCGATATTAGTGTGTTCATTTTTACTAGGCAGAGACACTAAGAGGAAGGACAGACAGGTTCGCCGGTTTGTCTGGTATCTTTGTGATCCTCAAATACTTATAGGTAAGAGACCGGCTGAAATGAAGTTCATACCACATATTTCTGTGCTTGGGGTGGGTTGTTGACCCAATTACCCGCATTCAAATGTCATCACGAACGGAAACCTGCGGAAGCTGGAGTGACTAGATAGTAGATACACGATGGTCATGTAACCACGTCAGACGCGACTGTAGGAACCCACAAGTTTGCGTTGCGATGCAACATCCTGACTCCTGTGAAAGTCAGTGGCACATCACGACCTGTGTCCTAGTTTGCATAGCACAAAGTCCGCATGACCCGATCTCGTAAAGAGATTCAGCGCTGGCAGTGAGGAATGACAAGTCGGTTAGAGCAGATGTTTTTGAAGTAGGAACTCTTGCCTCTCAAGTCCATCGAGATTCGAGTTATGTAAAGTTCGTTGGCATATGGAGGACATCTCGATCCTGGAATATCCGGCCCATCCGATCCATCCGACCCAAGTACTTGCATGTATAATGCAAATCTCACGGTCACAACATACCAGGTGACTCACAGCGCCGCCGCGTGTGTCGTGGCTGACACCGTGACCTACTAGTACCCAGCTATCATGCAGGTAGAACTCTCTCCTGGTACACTGTTGACTCTCAGGAGCCTTTTTAGAACGGGTTAAGGCCCAAGGGATGAGGTGGAGGACCCATTGTAGTATTCATTCAATTATGTACACTTAAGAGGTCTAAATATGCAAAATATTTGATATTTAATGACAATGAACGATACAGTGAAAGAATTACAAAGAAAGTGTGAAGATGGTAAAGTAATTGAGCTCGCTGTGTGCAACAGCGAGCATGAAGGTTTTGGCAATGCGCGCACAAGTGTGCTTACCTATTTTGGTTATCATTTACACATCACTGTCATATCAGGTATGTGGGAACAACACGTGATGCTAGTTCGGTTCTTGGGGCAAATTTTCCGAACGCTGAACCGAACCTATGGTTCGGTTCAGCCATTTGGTCGAACCCTGGACCGAACGTCACCGAACACGTTCGGGAGGGTCCGGTTCGCGTTCGAACCAGGTTCGACTAAGCTTGGACCATCTGTGGTTGTATAGGCTCGAGACCATGAGTTGTCATGTAATTCGAGTCGGACAGACAATGAAAAGACTCTAATGCAAGGAGAACTTCTTTGTACAAAGATTGAATTCAAGTTTCTAAAATAAACACATTTTATTTGCCCGGTGCACATAGTTCCCTGATCACATTCTCATCGATCCTCTTCTCTAAACATATCTCAAACGCAGCAGCATGTACGGTTGCAGTATTCGAGATTGCAAGCGTGTCAATCTTCGCTGCAGGATTCTCTGAAAGGCGGAAAGCCCAGAGAATAATAGCCGTATTGATGAAGATGGACCGATTCGTGACATGTTGACCAGGACACACTCTAGTATTTTCAAGTAAGGCATGAGAAAAGGTGGAAAGATGAACGATACCACTCACCGGCGGCCAAAACCAAAAGTGAAAAACTTGAGATCAGTGATCACCGCGCACACGACCTGCATTGTCGCGCGATGCGCAAAGCCTGTAGTGAAAGGTGGTCGTCCATTATCGCATCATCACAACTGAAATAAGACGTACCTCCAATAGTGACAGGTCTCCACCTGAGACCCTCGAGGATGAACACGGTAACTTGCGGCATAGCTTGAGCTCGAACGAAGACCGACAGACTCACGAACTGCGAACGCTGGGCAACGACTTGTATCAGCATGGCTGTTGCTCGAACGAGGATCGACACACTCACGACCTGCGAACGGTGGCCAACGTCTTGGATCAGCACGGCTCTTGTTCGAACGAGGAACGGTGGCCTGGTCCGCCAACGATTTGGATCAGAATGGTTCGAGCTCGAAAATCTTGACATACTCACTTCCTGCGAACAATAAGCAACGACTTTGATCAGCATGGCTCATAACATTCCCAAGTAGTACTTACCTATATTAATCATTAGCAAGAGTTCAAAGTGTTTGGAATTCATATAGCGACATAAGATACCTAGTGTTTGAACATGTTGTGACGGTGCAGTACTGTGTCACAGCGCATCACGACTGCGGCAGGCGCGACAGAGGACCGCGTCAATTTCACCCGGCTCAAACCTGCGCGGGTTGCAGACACATGCATTTGCATATATTGACACATAGTAAATACTTACATCTTTTTAAAAAAGTGTAAAGCCTACAAAAATTGAGAGGTTCAAACCCGTTCGAACCTATTCACTACCAGCCCGAACCCCGAACCTCTGGAAAGGTTCGGTTCTGAGTCTTGGCTGAACCTTGGACCGGACCATGCGTCCGGTTCGGAAAGGTTCAGGTTCGAACCGAGGTTCGGAACCGGACTGCGGCAGCACTACATGGGTCGGATGTTCGGATGGGCTGGATAAGTATTCCAGGATCGAAATATTCTGGGCATATGGAGCAAGTACGACTTCGAGTCTTTGAACTTCAAACAAATATAGAAAGCTTCAAATTGAACTCAGTTACTACACGCTGTTACACGGTGTAACGGAACAAAATTAATTTTGGGCTGACATATCAAATTCAAAAAGATAGTCACTGTTGTTCTTTTCAGCATTACGAGCAAAGCAATAGCAATGGCACACACCAAGAAACCAAGAATCATGGTTTATATCAGCATGTACATGTAATAGTCTAGTGCTGCCACAGTCCGGTCCAGAACCATGGTTCGAACTGGACTTTTGGTCTGGTTCTCTGTGGTTCGGTCCATGGTTCTCGCGCCAGCCAGAACTGGACTGGAAAATGGTTCTCAGTTCTAGATCTTCCCAAACGGTCCAGTTCTGGTTCGACTTTCCCGAACCATTTCCAAACCCCAAACCCATTGTCGACTTCGACTTCAACTATGATGACGTCAAAGTGTCATCTTCTGGATTTGCACTATTGGTTAATTAGGCTAACTTTAGCCTTTTTGAAGGTTAGTACTAATCAATCAACTCTCAAGACTCTCACCGACTGACATACATTTAACTATATCACAGATATCTACTTGTTCCAGTCTATACGCTTCCTGGACCGTCATGATCCTCCACCAGCTGTTAACTCTAATGGATCTCCTTGGATATCGTTGCTCTGGGATGTTTGGGTTTGCTCCATGCATAAAACGAGGTGCCGACAACGAAATTGTGAGTTATTTGCCTGACGATGTCTGAAGACTGCTGTGCTCTTAATGCTGATGGCTCCCTCAAGGATGTTTCCGATATCACCTTCTTCAATGATCCTGATGACGAAGTACCATTGCCCCAGGTCCCACCTTCAGCCCAGCCATCATCTTCAACTACATCCACAAAAGATGCCTTTTCCATTCTGCTCAAGGCTGGACACACCCCAGCAACAGTCACAGCTGGTTCTTGGTGCTCTGGCCAGCCCATGGACATATGTCAGCAGCAGTAGAGGCAGAGGGGCATGCAGCTGGTATGTAGTTAGACTAGCTACCCAATGTCATGTAGATGTATTGTGAATGTTTTTTTTTGGCACTTTGAAAAATATATGGTTCAGTTCGCGCTCGGACCACAAAAAAACCGAACCGGACCCTTGAGAACCGTTCTTGATGGTCTGGTTCTGGGTTTGATGATTTTGTTGAACCGGACCATGGTCCAGTTCTGGGTTCTCGTCCAAGGCCCTCTGAACCGGACCGAACCGGACCACAGCAGCACTATAATAGTCAGCCAATTCAAAACCATTTATCATTTGTAATGCATGGATTTCCAAATCATTGTCATGTACTCAGCACCTTGTAGTCAGTGCTACAGGCCTACAGCCACTTCCCATCCACTGTGGGTAGTACTTCCAATTAAAATCATTGGAAAATGTACTGATGCTATAAATTTAATTGGAACTTCGACTGAAATTGCAGGTAGTTAATTTCATTGGATGACTAATAACTTATTTTCAGTGCCGACTTCAATTCAGCACCAATATTTCAGCACCAATTCTGCTGAAAGCTGTTTCAGCACAAATGTTACTTGAATTAATTCCAAGTGTCTAATTGGCCCATGCAGACAGCAGCAGAAGCATAGAGATAAACCAGTGCAAATGCGACTCCCCACAGATGACGGGGAGTCCTACAGTACTAGTGCAAGTCACTATTTGTAGTATCCGACTTGTATGACTCTCTGCCGTCACTAAACACCATGGGTTTTATACTACGGTCAATTATGAATGTTCCACCTTGTGTTTGCACCCAACCAACCACACCTGTAATGTTTCAAGCATCTGTAATGACTTGTGCTGTGAGCTCTTTGTAACCGATAATAGATTCCTGAGGTGTCCTTCCCGTTAGTCTTGCAGGGTGTGATTAGGGTGAGAATAAGTTCTGTGGAGCACAGGTGCCAATAAATCTTGTTGTGTCCGAGTTCGCAAACCAATATTGCATCCAGCTGGCCATAACCAACTGTGTTAATGGGGTGTGATTCTGCCATAGCATATGTGATTTCGAACTGGAGCACCAGCCATCAACACTATCTCCGGCAGCAATAAAATGGGAGACATACCTGAACAAATGAGTTGCGAGATGAACGGCTTCGAGCTGCCCTGCTCATCAAGTATTTTGATCTGATTGAATCACCGTTGATTATTCACAATTTTCCCCACAATGGCATCACATGGGGGAGGTAGGGTGGCGAGATCACTATGCTGACCCCCAACAATCTGGACCAGATATACACTAATTCTTTTGCAGGTGTCTTCATCAGGAACATGGTCTGAACGACATGGTGTCCGCAAAACGAGGTTGGGATCTAATTGTTGTTTGTGATGTTAGTCAACAGCAAAACTGATTGAAGCCGAACAACTCACAACTTTCAAATAATTTCTCATTTTCCAAAATGTCCTGACCATGGCGCATGCTAAAGCTTTCAAGCTTGTCTGATAAATCAAACTTGATGCTCAGCTGGCTAAGATATGACAAAAAAGGATGACTTGAGATAGGCCAGTCCAGGGATTCCAACATGGACGAAGGCCAGTTTTGAGGAATAGACAATATCTTTCCACATAGAATGTCCAGTGTACCCATGCGGGACCACTCATCTGCAAGTCATTTGCTACATGCAAACACCCATGGACTGGGAGAGTGCAAACAGGTAATCTTGCCTCGTCATATTGATAGTAATACCTGAGAACATAAACTGTGAGACCATTGTCTTGGGACTTAAGGGTGGCTACATTACCTTTTGTATTCCTGTACCCACTCAGTGAATCCCTGCTTGAGTCCATTGATCTCTTCCACAGATAATTCAAGCCTTATCAAAGTCTTCATCAGTGAGACTAACTTGCACATGTGCATGTAATACTTCCTTTGGGGAAAGCGATTCTGCAGAAGAATGGGGGCAAGGTACATGAACCAGAATCCCCATGCTTCAGCAGTGAAGGAAGATCACTCAGAGGCAATATTACTGAGCGCCCAAACAAACACAGCTGGGATGTCTTGTACTGCAGCTGCGGTCTCTTGACTGATTTCCTCCCAGATGTGAGGTGCGAGCTCATACTCCTCTGTTCCTTCATCCAGACCCTTGAAATGACCAGTCCATAGATCAACAAGTGTAGGGGCGATATTCTCAAGAAACAAATGCATCCACTCCCAGGGTGCACAAGTGGCATAATTGAGCAAGCTGACATGAACAAGGGATGACTCTCCTCGTATACCATGTTCCTTGGACAGTAGATCTCGCTGGTGCTTTGTGATGCACAAGTCCAAGTCTTCCAGAACACGAATGAATCTGGCATTAGTACATAGTGGAAGGCTAAGGGGATTAAGTGAAGGTTGTGTTTGATGTGGTTGACAAGGTGTATTGAGGGGTGTGTAGTAGTTGCACCAATCATGTGAACACCCTTGATGTCACATGACCGGCAAGGCAAATACCTGTTATGGCCCTTGATATTCATCAGTTTTTCAATAGCGACAATGTCGTCATCTCTGCACATGCAATAAGCATGGAGGTAGAAGTTGCAACAATTAGATGCATCATAGGTTTCAATCCCATCAGTGAGCTCTGCAAGTTCATTGTCGAGTGGACAAATGAATGATGCAATGTCTTTTGGCTGGTGGGGCCTGGTATGACCCCAACACATATCACATTCTCCAGATGAGTGCGCACATGTGGAGGAAGGTTGAGATTCATAAGCAGTAAAGGAGTTGCAGATAGTCCACCATGGTGACGATTGAATAAGAGAAAGCCATCCACTGCAAGTGAGAATGCAAGATCATGCTTTCCAGCAAAGAAGCAGTGCAGCCATTCAACCTCATCAACAACAACCTTCGTCTGACAGAGTGTCCGATACCACTGAATCAAATACGTCCCAGAGCACACCAGGCTGATAAATATACTGTTTGCGATATGCAAGACTCTCTATCATTTCTGGGCTTTGAAAAAATGCTTGGAGCCAAGGAATGATTGGAAGGTATAAAAAGTTCCGATGTGCTTGACCACCTACACCATATCGGGGTTCATGGCAGAATGGACATCACAGATGGTGAGAATAATTATCAGTGTATGCGACACATAAATTAATGCAGCAATGGTAATTGATGGCCTTGATCGATCTGATCCCTGACAGTGTGGCAAGATGGTGAAGAATAACCCATTCAGAGTCTATTGTCATTTTGTGTCAGAAGGATCTATGCATCTGATCAAAGACACAATGAGGAATATTGCCCACTAGCTTTAGATGGAATGCTCAAATATTATCACAGTCCTCATCTGTGAGTATATCATTACCTAGGCTACATCAGTGTTAGAGTTTGTGTTTGAATAATAATACATATGGAGTTCATGCATCTCTTTGGCCATTGTCGGACCCTGCCAATCCTCCAGGTCAAGAATCATAGTGTCAAGAGTCATGACAGTGTGATTATCTGTGTCGTACTCATCAAAATCATACATATCTCCAACTTCCGACAGCATGGACTTGTCAGAGGAGGTGCCATCTCCACTGGACTCAGATGACTCCTCGGTGTGATGGGAGGAGTGCGATTTTGCATCCTGCACAGGTGTTGAAGAATGTGGGGATGCTGTAGAATCATTCTAAGCCTCAGAGTCTGAAGTGCCAAAATCAGAGTGTAGAGCTTCACTGGCATTTGCAGAGGCATAGTGTTTTTACCTTTGAGAGCAAAATAAGAATTTGTAACATGAAGGTGCATGGTGACAGCGTTTTTTTTTGTTCTGCAGGCATAGCTAAAATCTAAGTTGTAGTGTTTAAAAATCAGTTCCTCGACATCAACTCTGTATTGTGTTTAAACTCACCTGAAGCCTGAAGGCCTTGTAGTGAGCCTTGCAATATGTGATTGTAGTGGTGCTTCACATTGCAGTTCTTTTATTTGTTGGAAAAGCAAGTCTATTATATAACAATTGACACTGTCTCTGATGCTTGACAATGACTCCAGCGACTATCCTTCTGTGAGGAACTGTGGATCAGTCGAAGAGATCTTCTTGGAAGCATCCAGGATTGAGAACCTGGATCTTGGACTGGTGTTCTTCATGCCTAATACATTCAAAGGAGAGAATGGGTTCTTGACTTAGGCTAGCTCAGGAGCAAAAGAGACATTGCAGACTCAGATGGAACACATCCCCAAAGTATAACAATGCATAGTTACACAGATTTCATGAATGCCACACTTGAACAATGAGAGTGATGATATTTATTATGATGGATATCTAAATGGGATAGAAATACAGAGTAGACTTGAAGTATCTGAGTAAAATTCTCCTGGTTCAAGAGCTTGGAAATGACTTACCAATATCATGAGTAACCAACATATTAGAATTAAAAGTTATCTCGACTTTCCAACTGTCTGTGATCCATTTTCGCTTCAAGACCACCCTTTACCCACTGGTCTGTGTTACAGTGACCCCATCATTTTCCCATCATCACTTGCAGGACTATGCATGTACTATACTTCTTGATCCCCATCTTACTTCTAGCATACCTCATGTCGACCATGAGGATACCTCTTATCTCTGACTTCCTTTTCCTGTACTTCTACAACACCTCATAGATTGGTCCATGCACTCTTTCTTACATATATAAACTCTTGCTATCTCTTGTACATTTTCTTAACTTGAATCTACTCAGTTCTCCCTGATACCTAACTAGGACCTGAGGGTGCCTCCTGATCTAGCTCTTTGCAAAGAGACTAGCCTTTACTCAATCACTTTGCTAGAGTTCTACCTCTAGTCATCGTTACCTGATACTGTACTCTTGATCTCCTTTATTGGAGCTGTTACAGAAGATTCTACCTGAGTTTGTAACAAAAGATTCAAGTTATATTTGAACCCCAGCTATCCAGTGGGGCCTATACTTGACCAAGAAGCCTGCCTCATGCAAGCAACAGCATTCGACCCAAGAAGCCTTTGGGCTGAACCCCTATCCCAGATCTCCAGTCTTGACAGCTGGAT